GCCTTCCTTCAAGTTGTCACTAACTCATGCAGCAGCACTGTGGTGTCCATTCATTGCTTCCTGGTATGGGTCCGAAGGTTGAACACTGGCGGCTCCTCACAAGTTTTTAAGGTCGTCAAATTGGGGTTTTGTGGGGTGGGATGCGCTGGGTTGGGGTGGGTGGGGGAGGGGTTCTTGCATGTTGAATGGACAAGTCAGGTTGCTGGTACATTGGGTTATTGCGGGTCAACTACTACTTGCAAGAAGTGCCGTATGGTGCTGCTGCTGCCATTTTCTCGAAGGGAGGTGTTAATGAACAAACAAGTCCATAAGTTTTTCTTTCCTGGGTCTCGTCAAATACTCGTTTTTTTTTGGGTCCGGTCCGATGTTTGTATGGTCATAGTTAGTTAGTTGCATCCTGTTTTTCAGGTTGGATTGCATCTCTCATTCATGTCTTCCCCCCCTGATTCATCATCTCAGTGTCAGGGTCACATGTTTAGTTAGTAGTTAGTGCATTTTGGTTTTTGCATATTTTTTTGTTGTTGTGTTTCATTCTTCCCGGTTGTTCACAGCTAGCCTTCTTGTCAAGTCAATGTCTTAAAACATTACGCATCCATGGAAATCATGTAATTCTTATGCGGTTACACTCCGCCCCTCTTTTTTTAAAAAATCATATGGTTATTATGGAATGTTCAAATTTTGCCGTTGAAAATGTACTTGGGAGTTGGGAAAACCCATTTACGTTCATGATTGTTACAGAACATTGTGATTAATATATTTGAACATATTGCTCTCTCGGACAAGTGATATAGTCAATGATGGAATATCTTCACATTTATCAATATCCATAAGAGGATGAAGTCCCCGATTTTCTCATGCTTGGAGCAAGAAAATTTCCATCAAATTTTCCTCTAGCATTGAGGAAAATGAACAAATTTTTTTATTGAATGTTTATATGGGCAGTGTTGAAATTGTGTTATGATGTTTTTATTTTTAATTCATTTTTCAAAAAGTTGGTGTGAAATTGAAAATTAAAATTAAATATTTAACACTATATCAGAAGTTTTATGAATCAAGAGAAGATATACTACTATGGAGTATTTTATTTGATTAAATTTAATAAATGACCCTTTGTAGTAAATGATTTTTTTCATTTTTAGTGTTTATTTAAGGAAAATACTATATGTACCCTGAATTTGTACACCGGGTGTACACCATATACCCATTCTTTTCCTTCTCTGTGCCACCACTCTTCTCTCTTTCTCTCTTTTTTCTGATCAACTAGTATTTTGACCCGTGCCATGCACAGGGCTGAACAAAATTTTTTTCAATTCTTTTTTTCATGTATTATTTTTTGTGGATTAAATAAAATAAATTTCTTACATGATTTTTAATACTATATATACATCAACATCAAAATAGAATAAATAATATTTGAAGAATTGAAAGTATATACAAAACAAAGACTTAGTAAAATCCAAATTTTTTGAAACACTTCAGAGTATGCAACATTTTTGGTATGCATGGTTGCAAGAGTTTCAATTGTCATCTAAAATAAACATTTTTAATTATGTATTCTTCTTCACTCGTGAAGGAACAACATAAAATTAATCATAAGTGAATGCCGACTTAGTTAAAATAATCTAACAAAAGATAATGTTTCACCATAACTTTTGTTAATAGTCATAGCAAAACATAAAACTATTGGAAATTGTCTTTTTTGAAACTTTAGGGGGTAGCCTTGGATCATGTGGTACCAAATTTATTCGAGGTATGTAAACCTTTTTCCCGTCTCAATTTCTCGAAACCACGATTGCACGGTTAACATTTTTCGTACCTCTTCAACAATTAATCTTGTACCATTATACAATCCAAATAACATAATCAGTACACTTTTTTTCAAAACTATTTTTTGAATTTGTTTGGGATCCCCGAACATCTGGATATTTAATTTCATTCAAAAATTCAAATGTTATCCAATAAGCATCAACACCTACATTGGCATCTGCTTGCCATTAAGAATCATAACTCAATTACTCCTTTTTCATCACTGAGAATGAGGAATAAGACAAACTCATTTATCATTTCAACAACTTCGAGAGTGGGTGCTAATGGTGCCTAATCCTAAAAAAGGAATATTTTTTCATATTCTCCAATAACTTCAGATAAGTGAGATAAGTGAATTCCAGTACTATACTCTTGGGAGGATAACTTATGTCAAGAATCAAGAATCCAGTCAAAATTTTAACGTCAGCAATTCCACCAATCACTTGACCAAGCTTTCCATCTCCAATTTTGATTATCTAATCAGAAAAAGCTTGTGTATCCCTATCTAGGTAAGAGGACATAGATGAATGCAATATTTTATTCTTGCTCAACGTAAAAACTTTACAATACAACCTCTATTTTGGGGAAATCACAGTAGCACCTATAATTTTCTCTCTCGAAGCTTTGGTAAAATTGGAAGGAAGTGGCAAAAATCACGTCCGAGTACTAATATTTTTCCTCTGAATGGTTCATTTCTAGAGTTATTATTGTAGAACCTCAATATCTCTCTCATTGTGTGATCCAATACCTCAAAAACAAATCTATTCATCACACATGCTTCATCTCATATGATTCCACTTGCTTGTTAGATTAATTCTGCTTTCGGACCCCCCTTTTTGATATCACACATTGAGCACTCAGTTAAAGCCAGAGAGATTGAGAATCTCGAGTGTGCTATCCTTCCACCATGCAAAAGCAATGTTGCAATGTCACTGGATGCAACATTTAAAACAGTCCTACATACCATTTGTTCTTGAAAAGTAGACATTGGTTTCTATATAAATGTTTTCCCAAGTCTCCCCTAACCATATATAAAAAAGAAACCTCCTCTTTTAGATATTAGATTTTGATTATCACATCAGATATCTTTCTTTGATCTTCATTCATCGTAGATAAATATCCACTAAAATCAAATGACAATTTTTCTTTGTCATAGTTCAAGTTCTAAATCAAGAAATTATTTTGAAATCTATTAAGAAGACTATCATCTAGAAATGACATAACACTGAACTTCTTTAAAAATATATAATTTTGATATTATTTTTAAACTTTTCCTTTACTTTATAATAAGGTAATAAGGTATGATATGTAGGATAAATGATTTTAGGGTGTGCCTTTTTTCTAATTTGAAAAGTTTTGTGGGACGCCTTTCTTTGTATTTGAAAAATTTAATGGGACGGGTGTAGTATAATTTTCTTCAAATATCTAAGGTTATTTATTTATATTAGGCTTCCCCAAAAACAATTTACTTAAGTAGTCAACATTGCGTATGCATTTTTTTCAANCCCCCAAGTTTTGAAGGCTATCCTCAAACGTTTTACCCAATGATTTATCGGCTATCCTTTATTGTTTATACAAGGATTTATAAAGCTACCCTCTACCGCTACAAGCCTACAACTGATGATTTGTGTATGAAGAACACAGAAAATGGGTTCAACACCTTGACCTACGATATAGAAAAGATCAACCCTTAGCCAATGAAAAATGAAGATTATACTCTCTAAAATAATATAAGATCAACCTAATGAATATGAAAGTATATATGTATAATCACAAGCTCAATGTGTGTGTATAAAATCTGAATAAAAACAAGGCTCTAACAAGCCAAAATATGAAGATTAAAGAACAAGATCAAGAGCACACTTAGAATATGAAGATGGATGACTAGAAGCTTGTGTTGATGTTTAGAACGAAGGATTATCGTCCTATTTATAGTTGAATATCAAATATGACTGTATGGAGTTGATTTGGAGTATTAAATGTATTTAAAAGTGGTTTAAAAGGAAATTAGAAATTTTGAAAAATCTAACCGTTGAAATGATACTTATTAGGAGATGCCTTAACGGTAGGGGGGTCCCGAACTAACGGTAGCTAGGTACCTTCTCAGGCATATATTCTCTGACGGCAGCTGTCTAGCTATCCTAACAGTACTCCTTCCGGTAGGGGGGTCCAGGGTAGACGGTTCCTAGGTCTCGGGCAAACAGTAGGGGGTCCCAAACCACTCTGTAGGTTTTCATATTTGGCCAAATCTTTTTCGATATTTGTTTAAAACCTTTTGGATGTTCGAAAAATGATTATAAGAAGGTTTTAAACATATTTTGTGAGTTCATTTGAGCTTGTGAATATAGATATATAAAATCATATCCTTACATTTGTTTCTACCTATATTTAACGCTAGTTTGATGTTTCAAATTTATTCTTGAAAACCGTTTCTTAATGGTTTCTTGTTGTACTTGAAACACTCAAACAAACATTAGCTCATATATTGTTTGTTAACATCAAAGAACGAGATTTGGCAAACCAAGTTAGACCCTCCATCCCGTCCTCGTACTCATTGGCCTCACCGATTGAACTCATGAGTTTACCCTCAAGATGCACATCATTTTACAACCCCAAAAACTGAAAAAACTTAATATCATCCATTATGTCAGATAGATTTACCTCTGAGATTCCTGGGAAGGTTGGGACAGAGTGTATCGGTTGGAAGACGTGTGAGGTTGAACCTTCGGAAGTGGTGGTGGCTTGGTTCAAGCTCCCAAATTGAAGGACTTTCTAAGCGACATTTTAAACAATATAGAAATTTAGATAGATAATATAATACAAAGGAATATCAAATATTTTAAAATTCTAATATAAATAATATATTATAAACTTACAAGATTAATATTTAAAACTGCATCAAAAGTTTAAAAAAATATAGATGACATGACTGTATTATTTTATCAAATGAGTAATGAAAATAAAAAGTAAAATGTTAAAATTTTAGAATATTTACGAGTCTGTGCAAAGCACGGAGTTAATACTAGTGCATAAATAAACTTTGTGTTTGTATGTCTTTTGGGGTACAAATGGAATGCAGATGTTATTGTATTTCTAGGTTAATTCACGTATTAATTTTGATTGATGGAAGATCTGTTTCAACGCCGTAATTCCGTAAAGTAATAGACTTCTTGCCAAACAAATGCTTTCTTTCACGTACAACTGCAGACTAGTACTCCCCTTCCCATGGGATCCCACTCCCCGATCTTCTCTGCCAGCCTCCATCAGTCGTATCCTTCAACTACCTAAAAACATAAGGAATCCAAAAACCCGCTCGGAGTCGGAAATACGCCTGAAATCGAAAAAGGAATAAGAATTGCACCAAGAAAAGAGAAGCCCAAGATACCCAAATCAATCACTCCTACAGATTCATTATCCACTTCTATTCAATTCTGGATAAAAAAGGTGCTACTTTCTTTTTTCTACTTCATATTTGTTTGCTTCTGCCAGAATTTAATGTTCGGGGGTATTTCCGGGTGGTGACGAGTCTACGGGCTTCACAAAATTCAACCCTTCCGCGGTTCTTTTGATTCGAGAAGTTGGTATCTTTAATTTTCCTTGTGTTTTGTTATTGTTCATCGGAATTGAGATTTAGACATAAAGATTGGAACTTTCAGGATATTTAGGACATGGGGTTTATCGCAATCCTGTAGTGGTTCTTGGAATATAGAATGATGCAACCCGTTGAAGCCGTAGGAAATGGCAGTGTTGATGATGGGCAGAGGTGCAAAAGGGCTACAAAATTGTGGAGGTGTAAAAAAAAGGCCATGGATGGGGAAATTTTCTGTGAGAAACACTTTATATGGCACCGCGAGAAGAATGCCAAACGAAGGCGTGGATCAGTTTCGGGTTCGCAGAATTTGAATGGTGAGAGTAAGAGGAGACGTTTAGGTAAATCTGTTGAAGGGAATGGAAGCGTAGAAGGAATTGCTTTGGAGGGTTCTGAAATTGTATCTGTTAGTGCATCTCAATCTGCTGTTAATGCGAATCAGCCAGTGAAGAAGAGGGGTCGGCCGAAGGGCTCAAAGAATAAGAAGAAGAGAACTGATGACAGTGGTTTAGTGTTTGTGGCATCTAATGTTGATCGCAGAGCTAGTGAAACTGCACATGTGATTCTATCTACCGGTGGGAGTGTAAAAAAGAGAGGCAGACCAAAGGGTTCAAAGAGTAAGAAGAAGCCCATTGAAAAACAGCAAGGTTTTGAACCATTGATGTTGGAGAACAGTAAGATAGAGGTAGTTGTAAATGAATTCACAAACAGAGACAAGATAGTTAAGAAGAGGGGCCGACCAAAGGGCAAGAAAAAAGCTACTGTAGGTCGCCAGTGTGGTGATGAAGGTGGACTGTTGATGATTGAAAATGGAAATATAGGGAGAGTTGTGAATGGGTTTTCTGTTTCTAGTGCTAATAGAGATGGGATGCCAAAGAAGAAGGGCAGACCAAAGGGCAAGAAGAAACAAGACATTGCTTTGACCGTTGAAAATCATCTCGATCCTGAACCATTGATGGTTCAAAATAGTCAAGTAGGGGCAGTTGGAAATGGAGTTGTAGGTAAAGATGGGATACCAAAGAAGAGGGGCCGACCAAAAGGTTCAAAAGGTAAGAAGAAACATGCTGTAGGTGGTGCTTTGGCTTTAGCAAAGAAAGATGATTTTGAGCCGTTGATAATTGATAATAGCGAGATAGGGGTGGTTGTGAATCAATTCTCTGTTTGCAATGATGTAAACATAGGAGGGGCACAGAGGAAGAGCGATGTGCCAAAGCTTTTAGAAGAAAATAAGAAAGAAACATTTACCGTGACAATCAGGAAGAGGGGCAGACCAAAGGGTTCAAAGGGTAGGAAGAGAACTATTGTTGTAGGCGACATGCCTCGGGCACGTGAAGACAGTGAGATAGGGGTGATTGTGAATCCTTCATCTGTTTCTAATGTAAGCAGAGATGTGGTACCAAAGAAAATAGGCAGACCTAAGGGTTCAAAGGGTAAGAAAAAAACAGTTTTAAGTGATGAATCTGTGGTTTTGATATCATTGCACAGTCAGAATGATGGGGATGAAGGTAGTGGTGAGACTGTTGAAAAGGACAAGCGTGAAGGAAATAGTTTTCTAGCAGAAGAAGCTGGGACAGTCCTTAATGAAGTTACTAATGATAATGGATGTAGGAGAAGCGCCAGGGCTTCAACCAGAATATCAGTGAGTACTAATGCTCTTCATTTTATTTTTTTAAAGTCATTATGCCAACTGTTTGTTTTCATGGACGACGAGCACTCTAGAGTTGCAGGGCGGGTTTGGTGCAACTAGTGAGGCCTTACCCCTCCCATTGTGCCCTGGAAAGCAAGGGAAAGGTGGCCCAAATATTTTTCCTGCCAACCACACTGGGAACATCAGCCCTGGCCTATAGAAATTTTAGGATCTATTTGGATGGAGGGTTTTCGAGGAGTTTGGAGGCGATACTTTGGAAGGCTTGGTTTATATCTTGATATATGCTCCAGGGAATTTCAGATTTTATGGAACTTAAAATTCAACATAATATGTAATCGTATAACATTTCAATCATTTCTTCAATTTTGGAAACATTCTATATATCTCTAGATATGGACTAAGCCCCTCAAAGTCTTACCTCGAAATCATCCCGAATCCTCCATCCAGACAGAACTCAAAAGGCTGAAAATAGCTGTTAGAAGTGGCTTTCTAGCCCAAATTGAATGTTAACATTCCTTTTCTCTTTACTTTGGCTTTATATTGAGGTAGCGAGGCACACTATTTTCCAAGCCAGAAATGACTAAAATCAGTTTGGCTTAGTCGAGTACTTAAATTGGATGTGTGTGTCAAATAGAACACTCTAAAAGTGTCAGAATTCAAACTTTTTATTTTAAGATTTTCTATTAATGCATTACTACTCTTGTTATGCAATACAATGATTTTTAAGAAAAGGTCATAGCATAAAATGAAATATTCACTCCCTCCCATAAAAATATTCCAGTTTCTAAATTGCGTTTGTCCCCAATTTTCAGTTTTTCATGTTCTATAATGATTTTACTTTATTCAAAATGTAGAAGTTGTATCTTGATGAAACCAGTCACTTTGTAGGACGAAGGGCATAACTTTTTACATAAAGCGATGAATGAAACAGTATTCATTGTATTGTTTCAGTTGACAATGTAAGAGTGTGACTCCATAAAAAGAGTATTTGATGTACTTTTGAACAAAAACTCCACATTTGTACTCTGGATAATTTTCATTTCTCAAAATGACTGTTTGACTAAGAAGGAAAACAGCTGCAGGATGCCATGGTTTGGAAGCAGAGTGGGGGATTAACGTGCCACCAATGCATCAAAACCAATAAAACTGCCATAGTCTTGTGCTTGAAATGCAAAAAGAAACGCTATTGCTTTGAATGCATTGCAAAGTGGTGAGGAAGTACTATCTTGTTTTTTATCCTTAATTCATGTTTTTAAAAGTTACTGTTACTTAGTATGCAATGTTTTACCACTTCTTTGTGTATATAGTTCTTGGTACGTTATGTGGAATATTCTCCATATCTATTTTATTTGTGTTCAGAAATCTTTTGTTGGAAAACTTTCCTCATTAAACTTCCCTTTTGGTTGTTAATATCTAAAGATTTTTTGTGTGTAACAATTGAGTAGGTATCCAGAGAAAACAAAGGAAGATATTGAGAATGCATGTCCATTTTGTTGCGGCAATTGTAATTGTACAACTTGCCTTCAAGCAGATATAACTCCAAAGGTTTCTACCTCCCCCAACTCTAGTTTTTTTTCCTTTGAAAAATGTTACGGAGAACATTTTCTGTAGGTTGCACAGTGTATTATAAATTAGTTAATAACTTATTTTTGTAGTCCAACAGAAAGGAGCCTGATGAAGAAACCCATTTGCAAAGGTCACTGTATGTGCTGTTAAATGTTCTGCCACTTCTTAGGAATATTCAAGAGGAGGCAAGTGCTGAGCTAGATGTTGAAGCCAGCATACGAGGTACAGCAACTTGAAAGCATTGCGACTTATTTTTGGCTCTATAATATGAAATTCAATGTTCTAACTTCTAAATATGATTTTCTGATGATTTGTTTGTTCATGGCTATATATTCAGGTGTCCAGTTGACAGAGGAAGATATAACCAAGTCCTTTCTTGACAAGGATGATCGAATATACTGGTATGCCCCCCTCAACGGCCTCAAGGCCTCAATTGACTTGTTGCAGTTCGTCATTCCTTTTACTTCAATTTAGATTTCTTCAGTCTTTGTATAATAATTGAAATATTTATACAAAATGAGTTTGAACAAATGTCTAACAATGCTATATTAAGTTTGAGGCAAGATTTTCTTCGTTTTTCCCCACCTTTTCTTTCCTTCAATTCCTCTCTGTTTTCCTCCATATTTTCTCTCTATCATGTTTTCGCATTCCATATGGTCCCTAATGAGTTGGCGTGACTACCCACAACTAACTTGAGCTTTCGTAATACCATGTCAGGACATGCTGGATCAGTAAGCTCATATTAGTTTTTTTTCTAGATGTTGCTTTCTAATAAAGTGATTTTCCTAGTTTTTTCAGGTTTATTAAATGATTACCATCATAGTTCCACTTTTAATATAATAGCGTCTCAACAGCTTCCTTCACTTAACTAAAGATTCAATTTTGATCATTATTTTAATCATGGATACTTACAACTCGTTGTAGTGGTTATAGCAATCACTTATACTTTGCTGTTAATTTTAGTGAAATATTGCAATTGGTGTATTTAGACAATAGTTTCCTTCTTAATAGTCAATTATTCACATGAATTAGTAACATCACATATGAATCCTTATATGACAGTGACAATTGCAATACATCCATTGTCAATTTCCACAGAAATTGCCCAAATCCCGATTGTTCTTATGATATTTGTCTCAATTGTTGTCGGGAGCTAAGATGTGGGGGTTTTCCGGGAGTAACCGGATCCCAGTCATCATTTAGCTGCAAGTCTTCTGAAAGACAAAGTGATGAAAATGCTCTTTTGCTTGAGACGATCTCTTCTAGTGTTGGGGAAAGGCCATGTGAGATGTCTTCCCTATGGAAATCAAAAGCTGATGGTAGCATACCTTGTCCTCCTAAGGAACTTGGAGGTTGTGGTTCTGCAATGCTAGCATTACGCCGCATATATGAACCTAATTGGGTGAATGAACTGATCAAAGGTGCAGAGGATCTTACTTGCAATTGTCATTTACCCGAAATGGATTTCTCCCAAGCCTGTCATACCTGCCTTGCTGCCACTTTGATTGGAAATGGTGATCGACATCTGAATGTAAGGCAGGCTGCTTCCAGAGATGATAGTCATGATAATTTACTGTATTGTCCCGATGCAATTGGCTTGCCCGACGAAGAGTTTATGCATTTTCAATGGCATTGGAGGAGGGGCGAACCTGTCATTGTGAGGAACACGCAAGCCATGGGGCCCGGCCTCAGCTGGGAGCCAATGGTAATGTGGCGAGCTTTCAGAAATGCAAGGAAAAAATTAAATGAGGAGAGTTTCTCTGTAAAGGCAATTGACTGTTTGGATTGGTGTGAGGTATGAATGTATGATTTCAATTTATTTCCACGAGAAAGGGAGAAATATTCTTCTCTCTTTCTGCGTAGGTGGAGCCGGGGGTCTCTTGGAAACAGCCTCCCTACTTCCGAGTAGGGGCAAGGTGCGTACACACACCCTCCCCAGACCCTACTGTTGTGGGATTCAACTGGGTTGTTGTTGTTGTTGTTTTATTAAAATTTAATCTCAAATGCTTAATGCATTCTGGAATTATAATAGTTTTTGTCTGGATAGCCTCCATGGACACAATATATCTACATTCAGTAGTGTACATCATTGTCATTTTAAGGAAATATTTATACTTTTAATCCTATGATTATTAATGGTGCCGCACCAAGGGTCTAACGAAAATTGAAAACAGCCTTTCTGTTGTTTATAGGGGTAAGGTTGTATATATCTTGATCCCCCAGACTCCAACAGAGTTGGGATGTTGTTGTTCTTGTTTTTGACTATTAAAGGAGCTAAAAGAGTTATTTTTAAATTGTTTTAGTTTGAGTTTGGGAAAATAATGGACTAAATCGAAATGGCACATTAAACTTCTATTGCATTGTACTTTCTATGAAGTTTTGGGTAGTAAATGCAACAGTGTATTAAGGGTCTAATGGACACAGCTTCCTCATCTTGTTTATATGGGTAAGGTTGTGTACATGTCTTGGGATTGGGATTTTATTGGGTTTGTTGTTATCCCATTACTATTAACTCACATTCACTTTTGGTCTCCATCTCATTTTCTCTTCTATGACTTGAATTTTTGCCACGTTTACTCACTCTATTAGTTTGTCCTGATAAACATGACAGAAAATATCAAGTTATTCAAGGCATGCATTTGCAAGGCCATTTCCTTCATTTGAAGGGCGTGCATATGTCTTTGCACATGAGATACTCATGTTGTAGTTGCGCAAAATAATTGCCCAAAGCTGTTACACTATGTTTGGTTCAAGGAATTTGCAAGGAAAAGAAAAGAAAATAGTTTTCTCTCAATTTCCTCGCCAAAATGGGAGGAATTTGGTTTTCCCCCCTCTTTGTACATGTTGCCTTCTCAATTTCTTTTCCTTCCACTTTACTTTTCTTTTCATCTCTAACCAAACATGAAAATTTGTTTTGCCTCTCATTTTCTTTTCTTTTTCCTTTCAAGTTCCTTGAACCAAACATAGTGTTAGGAGTCCCAGCACTTTTCCAATTGTTTATAATCTTTGACCATTTCTTTTTACAGTGTTGCGCCATTTACATTGGTTCTATTCTTTGTTTCACATTTGTGTGGGGCTGACTAATTTATTTGTGTAACGCAGGTCGAGATAAATATTCACCAGTTCTTCAGGGGATACTTGGAAGGACGGAGTCATCGCAGTGGGTGGCCAGAGATGTTGAAATTGAAGGATTGGCCACCGACCAAGTTTTTCGAAGAATGTTTGCCAAGACATGGTGCTGAATTTGTTTCCATGCTTCCCTTCAGTGATTATACTGATCCTAGATCAGGTCTTCTGAATCTAGCCACTAAGCTGCCTGTTGGGTCGTTGAAGCCAGATTTGGGTCCTAAAACTTACATTGCTTATGGTTCAGAACAAGAACTGGGAAGAGGTGATTCTGTATCAAAGCTGCATTGTGACATTTCTGATGCGGTAAGCCACATCCTCATATCTTTTCTGGTTTATATTGTTCAATCGAAAAACCTACAGGAATCATTATAATTATATTCTTGGTCTTCTAATAACATTAATCATAAGTGTAAGCTATTCCATATTCGTCCCAACCATTCGGGTGCCTTCCCCAAATGAATTTGTGACATGTATAATTAAACCAATTCAGCATGTCATTGGGTCTGCATGGCACATTATGTATAATTTTTGTTTGGTGTCTTGAAAAGTTAACCTTGTTAGGTCAATATCAGCATTCTCTTATGGTGGGCTCTTTTCAGGTCAATATCCTGACACACACAAGTAAAGTGAAACTTAATTGGAAGCAGAGAAGAAAAATTGCGAAATTAAAGAAGGGTCACGAAGAAGAAGACTTGAAAGAGTTTTTTAGCAGGGCAAATGATGCACCGGAATGCGCAACTTCCTTAGTTCAGGAGACATATTCAAACCAACCAAACCCCGACACCTCAGCACTTGTAGAAGAAGACAACATGCTAACTGAACACCCTCTAGATGTTGTACATGGTGGGGCTTTATGGGACATCTTTCGTCGCGAGGACGTGCCTAAACTAACAGAATACTTGCAGAAGCATTGGAAAGAGTTTCGTCATATTAACAATGTTCCTGTCAATTCTGTATGTATTTGTCTAAGGTTACTATCAATTATGTGAATGGTACTTGGTTTCGAAGCCTTGGGTAGTTTTATAATCCCTCATTTTGCTTGGTTTAGGTCATTCACCCTATTCATGACCAGACATTTTATCTGAACGAGAAGCACAAGAAACAGCTGAAAGATGAATTCAGTAAGATGCATTACATGCTCTCTCAGTTAGGTTTAGAGGTATGGGCTATTATTAACACAAGAATCTTTTTATATTCATTGTGCTGTCATGCAGATGTTGAGCCTTGGACATTTGAACAATACCTTGGCGAGGCTGTTTTCATTCCTGCAGGGTGCCCACATCAAGTTCGAAATAAACAGGTGAAATTTCATCCAACGGCTTTAATTATGCGCATTAAAGTTGATTTTGCGTTCTTCAGTACAAGAAATATGTTATGAATTTGAGTGTTACTGTTCTGCAGTCGTGCATTAAAGTTGCAGTTGACTTTGTATCCCCTGAAAATGTTCAAGAGTGCATCCAATTGACAGAGGCGTTTCGCATGCTTCCCAAGTCGCACAGATCTAAGCAAGATATATTGGAGGTAAATGATTTTTTTTCACCTTTCATTGTCAAGCAGTTTATGAACATGCACTTCAAGAACACATAAATATTTTGCACAAGAGACTCGGCAGCACGATATATCATGTTAGAAATTGCCATAATTGATGATTTGCCCTTTTATCTATAGGTGAAGAAGTTGGCACTCTATGGTGCTAGCGTGGCTATTGAAGAGGCAAGGAATCTAAAGATGAAACTATTGTAAGCTTGTTTTGTTTTTTGTCTAGCCAAAATCTCATCGCAATACTTGTTCCGATTTATATGTAAATGATGAATCTATATGTACGGTGCGCACTACAGATCGCGTTTTCATGGCTCAAGAGAAGGAGAGAGACACGGAGATGTACACACATTAGTCCGATGTAGTCATCAACCACCAGGGGCTCCAGATTTGATCCCAACGGCTTCCTCTTGAGAATTATACAGGACATTATTATTTTGATTTATTTACATTAGATTCTGGAAATCATTTCAGTTGTGGAATGCATTCCATTGTGTTTACCCACCATTTTAGTTTAGATAGAGGCAGATGTGTTGTGGGAGAAGAGTGTATAATGCTTAATTAGGTGTAATGCCTTTACATGTGACATGAATAATACAATGGTAGGTATGGTTTACATGAAAACCCAATGTAATGAATAATCCCTTTGTGTGATGGTTGATGATTTAAAATACTCTCTAAGATCGAATATTAGCACTATTGTTGAGATCAATGATTAATAAATCCATGTGAAGCACTTATTTGAAATTTACTATCGTTTCATAAATAGTGTATTTTGGATGGTAAACAACTACTGCATCGGGATGGATAGTTCAATGAATAATAAATCCATGGAAAGCACTATAGCGGCATTTGCAGAATAAGAATAGATGCTTGGAAAACTAGGGTGTAAGTATAAGAATAATAGTGGAGTGGTTAAGTTTTAATATCAGATTTGTTGGTAAAGAGTGAAGCTTGCATCAGACTTTATGCTTAATATAATTATTCCAATGCAATTGTCAGGATTTGAATTTCGGTGTCAGCCCTTGACTTAGCAACCATGCTACGCCTCTGGCAAGTAGACACTTTCCCAACTACATATCACCGCACTCTCTCATATGTGTGTTGTTGGGGATCCAGAACCTAGTGAGCCCCACAACATGTTAGATTTCAAAGTATAACCGTATAACACATGAAAAATTCAAAGTTAAACATGCTTATCAATATGTTTTTTCTTAATATTATGTTTGCTTCAAGAAATTTGGAAGAACCGGCCTATATATATATATATATATATATATATATATATATATATATATATATATATATATATATCGGTGATTAAGAAAATGTCAATCACATCCACGACTCTTGCATCCCTCTGCTCCACGAAAAGGTAATGAGAATTTATTTAATAAATATTGACTGTGTTAAATTCTCATTAGATGACAATTGTTAGTACTGAAATCGTATCGAGTGTCGACTCAAGTAGAACTTTTGTACTCGACAAGAGACGAAAACGATAAGTGCATCCTCTCTGATCCGCTACCAACATGCTTATCACATCGCGAGAATGACTAAACTCAAAATTTATCTGCGCCGTAAAACGAGACTACTCTGAAGAAACGTTTAGTGTTGATCTTGTGCGAGCAACATCTGCGAATCTGTTGTCGAAGATCCTCATGTGGACTCAACACGATTTGATCATTGATTCCAACGCGAACATTTAGAATCAATAAACTCTGTTATTTAGAGTATCCCATGCCATTGTCTAACCCATTAGGACACAGTATGCTATTACGTCATGTGAATCGAAATTGTCCGTTAAACGACAGATCCTTACAAAACCTCATTGAAATATTATACAAGGAAATTATCCTCAGTATGAATTGACTCAAAGAGTTTGAATTGAAGACCGATGATAGTAACCTCGTAGAGGTGAAAGAAAACCTGATATCTAAAACAACCTGAGTGCATCTTGAATATACACGCAAAATATGTTCTAACCATAAAAAGTGTGAAGTTCATTCATGTGCTACGCAAAAAGAAATCCCTGAACTGAAGGACATTCCTAAAATATTAAATATGTGTAAACTACTAATTCAACTAGTGAACCACTACGCTTCCGGTTCGATCACAGATCCCGTTATGATTAAGCGCCGGTCAGAATTTTATGACTAAAATACGCACTCCGTATCATCAGATGTCAAAAGCACAAGACGATTACAGACACGTAATGGCCGTTAGATTGTGATCGCCTACAGGCGCGTTCCGAGCTCAACGGTGATCCTTACCACTTTCTGTTCAACTGAGAGAAACTCGGAGGAGAGAGAAAGAGGCGGAGGAGGTGGAGGAGAAGGAGAACGAAGAAGAAAAGAACATCCTCTTTTCATCTGGTCAAAAGAACACCGTTTCGTTCATCGGAATCCATCCATATCGATCTCTTCATTTCATCATCTTCTTCTCCTTCTCCTCTGGTTTTTTTCTTCTCCGGATCGAAGAAAAAACCCAGAGAAATTGAAATTGGCGAGCCATAGGAACGATCTACGGAGAAGAGTCGATGAAAAAGCGTTGATTTTTCCCAGCGATCGAGAGAAGTGAAGGTTTTGAGGGGGTAATGGACATCGATAGCATCGAGTGCGTATCTTCATTGGATGGGATGGAAGACGAAGAGATCCGATCGTCTCACCATCTCAAACACAGTTCTTCGACCAAACCTCACAGTAATGTCTTCCCGGCCACCGGAATTGCTCCGACGAGTGTCCATGAATTGCTCGAATGCCCCGTCTGTACAAACTCTATGTACCCTCCCATTCATCAGGTTTGTAGTTCTCTCTTGATTACTAGTTCATCACTCTTATCCGTTTTCCGTTTTGGATTTTTAATTGGAGGCATGCTTTGATTGCCAATCTGGTTTCTTGTTTTTAATCCTGATTTGATTATGAAAGATTTATTAGGATTTAGGAATTCACCTACTCCCTATTTAGCAATAGTTTATGAAGGAGTATTCCCCTCTAACTACACACGGTAGTATTTCCTTTCCATTATTATATACTCCCTCCGTTCTGAATAAATCGTCCTAAGTTGACTTCACGGAGTTTAAGGAAAGTGTTGAAAAATAAAATGTAAATGGTTGAAATTTGATTAGAGGGTAGAGAATGATTGTGGACTACATATTTTTTTACTGGATTAGGAAAGTAAAAAAGTGAAACAATTATTTTGAGATGGATGATTAATTTGGAAGAGATGGAGTATACTCACATCCCTCCATAGACTCTATATGTACTCTACTATTAATGCATACTCCCTTAGTCCCATAAAGTTCTTAGCATGGTAATAATTCTTTTAAAAGAGAAATGATTTGAGTCACATTCATTTTCCTAAAAGAAATTAAGCGATGTGTGAACTTGTCGAGGACTTCCATTTAGGGAAGACCTTTGCGGGATAGAGGAGTATTTATTCAAAAATATAACTTCTCCAAGATGGAGGATGTGGATGTTACTCGGCGTCTTCATCCATTTCTATTCATGAGCTAGCAATTGATAACTTGTTTTTTCTTATGCGCTGAGCAGTGTCCTAAAATGCGATAAGTGGGAAGCGAATTGAGCATAGGGCTAGAAAAAGTGGTAAGCAGAGCTTATTAGTTTAGATAGGAAAATGTTGGAGATGGCTGACCATGCTTTTCCCTTCCTTTACCAAAATGGACACTAACAACAATCCATTTGCAATCAACCATTGTAAAGCATAAGGGAATTAATAGATCAGCAGTTTCAGCACAAATCAGGAAATTGAGTGTACTAAAATTGAAGAGAACTGAGGAATTAGTCTGTGTGTGGAGAAGCTAAAGTATAAATAGCAATATTTATGTGTTGAGTTAACGTGAGATTCAAAAATGTGCATTTGGGTGCAGTGTCACAACGGGCACACACTTTGTTCAACTTGTAAGACAAGGGTACACAACCGGTGTCCTACTTGCAGACAAGAGCTTGGTGACATCCGCTGCTTAGCACTAGAGAAGGTTGCAGAGTCACTTGAATTGCCTTGCAGACATTATGCATTGGGATGCCCTGAGATATTCCCATATTACAGCAAGCTCAAACATGAAGCCGTTTGCAACTTCAGGCCATATAATTGCCCATATGCGGGATCCGAGTGCTCAGTCACTGGGGACATACCTAATCTGGTATCTCATTTGAGAGATGACCACAAGGTGGACATGCACAATGGATCCACATTCAACCATCGATACGTCAAGTCCAATCCTCGTGAAGTAGAAAATGCAACTTGGATGCTCACCGTAAGTGAACCAATTCCTTGCCCTTTTTTCTGTTAACTAGACAACCTTTGCCCATAATAAGATGGTCTATTGGTCGATCATCTTCCCTTTCTTGATTGTTTATGTGTTTCATTTATTCTCTTTTCAAGGAATGGATGCAGATATACGGAGTATTATATTGTTCAAGTTTTGTTGTCTTTTCACCTGTGTTAGGTGTTCCATTGTTATGGTCAGTACTTCTGCCTTCACTTTGAGGCCTTCCAGCTTGGGATGGCCCCTGTTTATATGGCCTTCCTCCGCTTCATGGGCGACGAGAACGAAGCACGGAATTACAGCTACAGTCTGGAGGTGGGTGCAAATGGCAGAAAGC